GTGCCAGTTTTGTGAGTATTCAATAAATAAATCTTGAGTGGATTCTGATGGCTGATGCTATGTTGTCTTTATTATTGGTATATTTTTGAAATGTCCATAAAATAAATTTCATTGAAATTTTGCATCTTTTGGTTACAGGATTAAAATTTGTTAAATAAAAAATACAACATTTGATATCAGAAAGACTTGAAGTAAGCCACGCTCTGGCCAGTTGGTGTTTTGTGATTTGTCAAGTGGGGTACCTTGGTATAGTACATATCTGGAATATGTTAAAATAATAAGATATAATTTTTTTTGTCTTTTTGAGACAGGGTCTCCCTGTAGCCCCAGCTGACCTGGAACTCACTATGCAGAGCAGGCTGGCCTTGAACTCACAGAGACCCTCCTGCCTCTGCCTCCCAAGTGCTGGGATTAAAGGTATGTGCCACTATGCCTGTCCTATAAGATATAATCTTAAAAGACATACGAGGGAGTAATAAAACTTTTCATACTCTTTCTAGAAACTTTTTGTTTGCATTCAATAAGTGTGCGTGTAAAATAACCTCAATATAAACTTCAGATTGTTGTGAAAAATGAAAATAGAACCGAATACTTATCTTTGTATATTTTAATATTTTGAGCAATTCTGAGCTTAGAAATCTCCACTCATGAAGTAGGTTAGTGATAATTGCTTTGATATTTTATTCTGAGGATTAATTGTAACTGTATTATGCAGAATACCTTGCATAGTGGCCAGTCTATAGGAGACAAGCAAAGACACCTTTCTTTAAACTCATAGGTTTAAAATGTAATGAATTTTAGATTTTTCTCTTGGAGTTGATTCTATTTGCTATGTGAAAGTTGATCTTGCAGGAATTCTGAAAATAAAATTTCCTATTTTTAATGAAATAATCTCTGGATTTAAATTCTGGAGTTTGAGAGATGGAGCAGTTCCCAGCACCCACATGGTGACTAATAACCATCAGTAACTCCAGTTTTAGGGGATCCGACAGCCTCTTCTGAGCTCCAGGAGAATTGCATGACACGGGTGCTCTTACATTCATCCAGGCAATATACTCATACACATAAAATAAAAAGTAATTTTTAAAATATTTTAAATCTGGAATTTATTTAGAAAAAATAAATAGCCTGCCAGTCCCTTTATGCACAATCAGCACCGACCTTTGCATTAACTATCATATGAAGCATTGAGTGCCCTACAATTCCTCTGATGAACATTATCCTTCATGGCTTCTGATTCTTCACAAAACACACATGTCAGGAAAGATTCTCTCCCATTCTGTAGACTGTCCATTCACTAGACTGTTTTGCAGAAGCTTTTCCTCTTCCTGCAATTCCACTGTCCAATTCTTGGCTTTCCTTTCTGAGTTACAAGATCCCTATTCAGAAGGTCCTTTCTATGGAGTGTTTTCTCTGTGCTTTCCTCTAGCTGTTTCAAACAAATGAGGTAACTTAATTATTCTTGAAGGCTAAATAAAGCTTCATTCTCTATATATACCACAAAATAAGTTACTAAATAAATCAATGAATTAAATTTAATTAAGACCCTTTCCTACGTGTACAAGATTACAGAAAAAAAAATTTGATTCCAAGATTAATTTTTCAAATACTTTCTGACTTTTTTGGACAATATTTTTTAATTCAATCAAGAAAAGCATTCTCTAATTGATTCACTATATGGATTTTCACTTAAGTCATTTTTTGTCAATTCAATAAAAATGTTTTAACTTAACCATTCACTCAAGTGATGTATTTAGAAGTTGGAACAAGTCCCAGGAAGCTTCACAGATTTTTAGAAGAGTTTCAACTTGTTCTCTGAGAAACAGAGAGTTGATAAAAGTCCTATAAGAATAGTGTTTAGGAAAACACTGATTTTTCATATGAGAGAGATTTCCTCATTCCAAAGCTGAAGTGTGTTCTTGGCAGAGCAAAAATGGAGATCAACTTATTGAAAGTTATAAATTGTTTCAGCTCAAAATAGGAAAGCATTACCTTGAGTCTTATCCTGGAACACAGTGGCTTCCTCAGAAGGTTGCGCCTTTGAGAAGACATGGTGAGCTTAGTCAGACCTAATATGTAGTCTGCTTTTTAACTGAAAGATTCTGTGAATTCCTTGACTTATTTGATAGCACCGCTAGGCTCATAGTCATGTGACTTGTGCAAATTAAGCATGTTTAGTACAAATGACTTGAAGCCTGGAAGAATATGCTAAGGAAATTGTATATTTTTATCACTGAGAGAATCCATGAATTTTTCAGTTCAAATTTCCATAAATTTATAGGTGTATTGTTTATTCATAACTTTTTTCCTGATTGCTTTCCTTCTTTTTATTTTTTTTTCTACATTTGTTTTTTTATTGGGCTGCTGGGTCATTCCCCTGCTCAAGTGTGGAGGTCAGAAAACAACCTGTAGAAGTTGGTTGTCTTCTACCATAGGTCCCAGGGATGACTCAGGGCATCATGCTTGGGGGCAAGCACCTTTACCCACTGAGCCATTTCACTGGCCCTAATTGCCTTCTGTTTGTTAACTGAAATTTTGTCTTGAGTGCTTATTTAGAATAAGGATAGAGAAGACATGGGTCCACCTGGTTCTTTCAGTGGGTCTATTGTGTGTAACACTAGATCCAAATGTAGGTAATATTAGAGAAAGTGGACACAGAACCCTGGATGTGAATTTGTGTTTGGAAGGAAAGAGATTATTAGTATCACCAAGAATCAAACCAAAAAAATGACATGGTGATTTTAGGGGAGGTAGTTTTTTGCTATAACCTTTAGGAATACTTCAAGTGATCTTGTTTGGGAAATAGAATAATGTAAAGAATACCTTAGATTGGGACTGGAGAGATGGCTCAGTGGTTAAGAACAGTGACCGCTCTTGCAGAGGACTCAGGTTCTCTTCCCCGCCCCCACAAGGTGGCTAACAACTGTCTGTAACTCCAGTTCCAGGGGATTCAACACCTTCTCCTGGCATCTGCAGGCATTGCACAACATGGGTGCACTTACATACATGCAGGCAAAACGCTCATACATAAAAATCAGTATGTTTTAATTTAAAAAAATACAGTAGATCATAGTGTAGTTTTAGCAACTGCAAAGCACCTGAGCCCTTTGAACCAATTTGTGAGGAAAGAAGAGCTCTAATGTAGACGGCTTGCCTAAGCAATAGAGAGAGGTGCTCAGAGCACATGCTTCTTGGTTTTGAATCCACTATTCTAATATCAGGTCTTTAAGTGTTTTTAACTTTTAATGTCAATATATGCTTTTCGGTGGGTGAGTATGCGCACGTGTGTGCAGGTGACCAAAGAGGACAGAAGAGGGTGTCTGATCCCCCTGGAACTGAAGTTAAACGTAGTTGTGAGTCATGTAGTGCAGGTGTTGGTAACTGAACTCAGGTCCTCTGGAAAATCCACAAGTGCTCTTAACTGCTGAAACATATTTCCAGGACCCTATCAGTCTTGATAAGTTATTAACCTAAAATAATTTCCACCCTTATTTAATGGCTTCTGGCAGCTGAAACTTTTCTCTCGGGTGTTTTAACCTAGGCATGAAATGAAGTCAAAGTTATTCCGATTCCAAGCATCAGCAGTAATAGAGGTAGAGTTATCAAAGACTCAGAAAACTGAGAAAGCCCTTACAGACGTTCTTATTCAGAAATTGTCAGGTGCTGTTATGATACACTCTGTAAGAGCAGAAATTTTCAAGGAGACAATGTACTTGAAATGTTGAACTAGATATCAGAGTCCCAGACTATGGCTTTGCATAAGCCCCATTCCCAACATCATACATAGCAAGCAGCACCAGAATTAAGCTAAAATGTCTAACTTGTTCTACAACTGCATTTTCTTCGATGGCAAGAAAAGAAAGTGATTTTAGGATATCAAGCCTCTGCTTTGAAATACATCAAAAATAAGTCTGTAGGTAGGCTTTGTTCGACTGTAGAGGAATCTGGGAGTGGGGAACTGTGAAACCGGAGAAAGCTGACACACTGTTCCGAACAGACGTCCATTAAGTATGTCAACTCAAGAATGTGCTGGATATTCCATTTCTCATCTCTTTCCTAGAGAAAACAAAATTTATGGAAACTGATATAGTTCTATAAATATGAAAATAATCGGGGCTTGAGGTGTAAATCAGATGGTAAAATTCTTGACTGGCATGCAAGATTGGATCCCCAGCAGCCCAGAAATTGACCATTACTTCTAGGTAATGGAAGGAGAATCAGAAGTTCAAAATTATCCTTAGCTGTACAGCAAGTTTGAGGCCAGCCTGAGTTACATAATACTCTGTCTCAAAAACGGGGAGTGAGATATTGAAGTATGGCTCAGTCAGTCAGGAAGCTCCTGAGTCCATCTCCAACATTCATGTGAAAATGGTGGGTTCTATGCTAGTGTATGGCTGTTATACCAGCACTGGGGAGGTGGAGGCTGGCAGATTCTGAGGTAATATGATATGTCAGTCTAGGTGAATTGGTGAGTGAAAAACTATCTCAAAAAATAAAATGGAAAGGAATTTAGGAAGACACACAACTTTGTCAGCCTCGGGTCTATAGACACACACGCATGCACGCATGCACACACATGGAAGGGAAACAAAGCCATTAGTTCTAATGTGAAATTGTTTTGTGTAGACATCTCATGATTCTGAAGCACTGTCTTTTGTTGCAATATATCGCTTGATTTGGACATGCCTCTCTGACAGGAGAAGCTTGTTTTCCTTTCTTTATATTGTTGGGAAGCAACTTGAAGCTCCAAACTTTTCCTGGATGAGGTTCAGTGATCCATGAGTGAAGGAATGCCCCCACACACACACAATTGCACATACTCACACCTTGATGAGTATTAGCATTATCCATCTGAAAATGAAATCACAAGGCCAGAGTTGGTTGCTACTGATGTTTTTAATGATGACATTGCCAATGAGCTCATGTCTTACAACTTCCTGGGTCCTAAGGCTGGCTCCCTCCATTCAGTGACTTGTATATAACCTGGTTCAATGCTTTTTTCATCCTAAACCCTTAACTGAGTGCTTGATGTTGCCTGATACTTCCTTATCTGAAGAGTCTTCTTGTATAGTCCCACTTACTAGCCTCCCACACAAGGGCAACTCTCCCTCAGGAAGAAAGTGGGTCTGTGTACCAGTGGTGCCAATTACCAGCACGTTTTTCTTTAGATCTATGGAACACTGATGCCTCCTAAGCATATCTAGCCCTAGAAGGATGTCCATGGGCTGATCTTCGAGGATAGAGAAAGAGCATTGAAGGAAATCACCTTCAATTTGAATCTGAGCCAGATGAACACGGCCCATAATCCTCTGTGTGCCTACTCCCTTAGCAACCCCAGTCCACCGCTGGTCCACCAGCCTCATGATGTTACATCTCTCAGCACAAGCTTGGCTCATGATGGTCATCTGGGCACCCGAGTCAACGAAAGCCTTCAAAGGGTGCCCGTTCACTTTGCAGTTAATGTAGAGCATAGACACTTGTCCAAAGCTCTCAGGAGCCTCTTCCATGGCTATGTTCATGTTGTCTTCGATGTTCTGCTGCCGGATCTCTTCTTCTATTCTGGCCTGAGCTTCCTGGTCAAATGGGTCAGAAGAATAGAGACGAAGCATCTCTTGTTCTCTCAACTCCCGTTCCCTTTGTTGCTCCATCAGGACCCGAGAAAACGTCTCAAGGTTTCCACTCAGTAGAGCTTCAGCCAAAGCCGGGTTCCGTTCCTTCAGCAGGGACAGATCGTGAGGGTTGGAAAGCAGCATGCTGCGAATCAGGGAAGCGCTGCCAAGGTCTTCAGCATAGGCCGTGTTCTTTTCAGAGGCCAGTCCATGGGCCTGCTGTGTTGATGGTGTGTGCTGACGGTGGTGGTGGTGGTGGTGATGCTGGTGCTGCTGCTGCTGCTGCCGGGGATTTGATGTTCCAGGCATGGCCAATCCAGTGAAATCCACGGGAGGCTGGTTTATGATCCTTCCTGGAGGCCGAGATCCCATGTTATCCTTTTGAAGTAATATGACCATATCGCCGTCTTTGAGGCCATAGGTGCCTAGGGAACAGTGATCATCTGTGAGGAGTTGTTCCTTGTAGGTGATCTGGATCTCTCCTGCGGGCACACCAGACTCAAGCTCACAGAGGACCCTGAAGTTGCAGAGCTCAAAGTCAGGGCTCACCTGCAGGGAGAAGGTTGCCTCTGTGAGGTCCCTCCGCACACAGTACACAGTAATCAGCATGGCATGTGCCTAGGAAGGAGTGAGCAGAGAGCAGAGGATGATGACTGGCTGACTGGTGCTGGTTTGTGTGGATGGTTGGTCTGCCCCTCCCACGCTGGCCTATCATTTACTCTCAGAGAGGCAAAGTCACAGGCCAGAATGGGGGCTGCCTTCCCACCCTAGTGCTAGCTACTGGCCCCATGGAGCCTCAAGGCAACAAGTTTATATGTGTATGTGCTGTTTGGAACTTAGAATGTCTATCCCCATAGAAACAGTTACTTAAAGCAAATAGATTCCACAGCCCATCCTTCAAAATCTACAGGATATACAGACATCTTAACTCTTCCTAAAGATGTTAATACTTATTCTGTTCATTTTAGAGTTGTGTTCTATGTACATTTTTCTTGTTTCTGAAATGGTAAAAATGTGTTTCCTATATCAATAGTGACAGTAGGATACATAGTTTCTGACCTTGAATGTAGATAGGAAAATTATTGTCCTGGAATAAAGTACTCATACAAACACCATTTGATGCCACACTGTACTTTAGTACTACCCAGTAGCAGAGAGGCTATTTTCCTAAGGAACACACAAGCTGAGTATGAAAGGAGAGACATTTTTTCTGGGTAAGAAGAGTTTAGTCATTTCAGACAAGAGGAATTACATGTACAAAAACTAAATTTCTTGTCAAGGCCTGTCACTTCTAAAGAAAGACGAGACATTCATTTCAATAGGAGAAATGTGTAGAGTAATTGTAGTTGAAGAAAGTTAACAGAACCAATTTATTAAAGGGCATATGTTAATCCACAGAGCATCAACATTACCAATAAGTTTATTGACTGATGAAGGGGCAGAAGAGGAACTAGGGGAGGAAGGAAAGAGAAGGAAAAGAGATAAAAACATTCGAGACAAATATTTGTGGTTTGTTTCATTTAATGGACACATGGAAGCAGTTTCTTACCTCATGTGGGGGGCACAGGTGGCAGAGCAGCTGGTTACGAAGCATTCTCAGTTGCTCAAGGGAGCTGCTGATGGACACCAAAGACCAAAGACAAAGTAGTGGGAAAGAAAGGTGTTCCTTGCTTAGATGGGCATGGTTTAAGCCTGTTAATGACACAGCACATGTGGGAGGAAGACGTCTGTAACTAGAAGGCTTGGGGGGAAAAAAGCCAGGACTTGACTGGCTGAGTAAAAAAAGGCTTTAAAATAATTAATTTGATATCAATTCTATAGTAAAGTACCTAAAAGCCAAGCATCCTGAGCACAGTTGCCACCACCACCCATACACACGTGTGCCCCAGGGTAGAGACTCTCCAAGTAAGGGCAAATGGTCCTTAGGTAGAATTACTTGTGCACCAGTTATTATTTTCTGTACTTTATAGTTCTGCACAATAAGGAATTCACAGGTCCCTAATCTGCCTACTTAGGAACCAAAAGGTAGTCACTATCTTGTACTTGGGCCTTCTCTATATTTACAGTACTTTCATTATTTTATTTATTATTTTTATTTTATTTCATGTTGTATGAGTGTATTGCATGCATGTATATAACTCTACTCATGTCATGCAATGCCCACAGATGTCAGGAGAGGGCATCAGATCCCCTGGAACTGGATTGTGGATGGTTCTTAGCTGCCATGTGGGTGTGGAGAACCAAACCCAGGTCCTCTGCAAAAGCAACCAGGGCTCTTAACCAGTGAGCCATCTCTCTAATCCCATATTCACAGTGTTTCAGAAGATATACCTCATCAGCTAGAGAAGGGCACTGCAACATCCTAAAGAATGGCTTTCTGATTTCTTTTTCTTTTGTGTTTTACTCAGATGAGAGAATACATATCATTTCTTGCTAAATCATCTCAATTGCCATGCTTTCATTTGTTTACATTATAAATAGTGACTGAATGCTTAATATACATAAAGCATTGCCTGAGTCTGGGGATACAGACTCAGTATTGTTAAATGCAGACTGTGTTCTCAAAGGACAGTCTAAAGGACACACGCATATTCACAAAATGGGGAGGTTAAAAAAGAAAAACATAGCAGAAGCCTGCACAGCATGAGAAAAACCAATATCTGGATAACAACAAATTTCTGGATATCTGGTCGTGAGGGCTGTTGGTTAGCAAAAGCTTCCCAAAAGAAACTGGCTTAGAAAGATGACAATGAATTAGTTATGAGAAGCGAGATGATGGAAAACAAAGAGAAGAATGGCCTGGTATATAGAATTTTACTGCAAAGACAGTGTTTTTATTAAAATTATTTTTTTATTTTTATTTTATGAATATGAACATTTGCCTACATTTAGGTATATGCCTTCAATACATGCCTTCAATACACACAGAGGCCAGAAGAGGGAGTCTAATCCCCTGGAACCAGGGTTAGAGATGGGTTTGATCTGCCATCTAGGTGCTAGGACACTGCATCAGCAACAAATGCTCCTAACCTCTGAACCATCTCTCCAGCCCTAAGACAGTACTTTTTTTCTTGAGACAGGGTCTCCCTGTACCCTCAACTGGCCTGGAACTCACTATATAGATCAGGTTGGACAGAGATCTGCCTGCCTCTGCCTCCCGGGTGCTGGGATTAAAGGCGTGTGCCACCACACCCAGGGAGACATCAATTTTTAATATGGAGAATGTGACCAGTAATAGGTACATAGAGATTAGAGACATATGTGCAAACATCTGTTAGTATAATTAAAAATGAGTTTTTCTGTATGAAACAGTATGTTTTGAAATGGAGATCTTTTTTAAATGTTAAAACCTCATTCAATTTTATGTCTTACAGGGTCTATACTGAGTTCAATATTGTATAATTGTATTAATTCAACAGTGAACCTAAAAATTACAGCCAGTTTTGAAAGAGATGCATCTTTGCTCTGGATATTGTTATTGAATATGTTAATTCTATAATGAAATGCTTCTTCTAATCATGTGGTTATTAAATAAATAATTTTAAAAATTTAGAGAAAACAAATCTTACCTCAGAAATTTTCTTGTGCAAAATTATTACTTGTTTAGAGCTTTTTTTCTAACTTCAGAGATTTGGATGGACATTTGACAAACAAGTTATTCAGTTTCTTTTTCACTGTTGTCACATGTGTATGTGTTGTACATACATATATGTGTGCATTTATGGCTGTGGGTGAAATGAATGTGGATGCATGTGAGTGTATGTGCATGCAAATGTGGAGGGCAGAGCTTGAAGCTGGGTGTCTTCCTTGATCACTCTCCACCGTGTATATTGAGGCTGAGTCTCTCACTTGAGCCTAGAACTTGCAGATTCTATTAGTCTAGCTAGGCCGATTCTGGGGCTCTGTCTCCACCTCTGGGTGCTCGCATGGTCCACCAAGCCTGTGTGATATTCATTTGGGTCCTGGGGATCTTAACTCAGGTCCCTCAAGGTTGTGTGGAAAGCACTTTACCCACAGAGTCATTCACTTTCTTCAGAGCTTCTCAGTATCCTGCTATGCTTATTTGAATCCATAATGACCTCCTGAGCTTGGGAACAAGAAGAAACTGAGAATGCCAGCGTTCCTCTTTTTAATTATCTCAAGTAGCTTGGGACAGTTTGTTCTTAAAACTCTGTTGAATTAGGGAGGTAATAATACTTTTTCTTTGTTTTCGAAACAGCAGATGAAAGTGCTTTTGTAGATAAAGGACGTTTTTCTGTGTGTGCTGTTGCTGCTCTTACCATTTTTTTAGTTGTTTAGGGGTTTGTTTTGATTTTTGGTAAAGCAAAAGTGGAAGGTTCACATTTTAAAAACTAACATGTTGTTGTTGCCTAGATACGTAACATAATTACATTTTATGAGTTGTTTCATTATCTTGTTGTTCTTTAGTTTTGTGGCATGTTTCACTGGTGTGTGTTTCATTACTTTACCTTTTACTACACAACAAAAAGTCCCGAGGTCTGACCAGTTCATTCTCACCACCCCTAAATCTCAGGATGCCGGGTATGGCAGGAATCACCTGGTCTAGCCTCCTTCCCAGTCCTCAAGTCTCTGCCAAAAATCAGCTGGGATCTGAAAAACTAGAGTCTCCTGGGCTATTTGGTGCTTCTGTTCTGCTTGTTGCTTATTTCACTCATTTTCCTCAGCAGTGTTGGTGATTCAAGTACCGTATGTATAATTCTCTTAACTTAAAATTTTAATTATAAGCTCATCTGATTATATAATAAACAAAGAGATCATTTGGGGGTATATAGAAACTCTCCCAAATATGAAATGTGCTACAAAGCCCTGTTGCACAGGCTGCTGACCATTGGGAATGGTGAGCTATCCAGGTGTGTTCAGCTCAATAGCTGAAGGTTGTAACTTTTTCTCAAGGAATACTTTAAATACATTCCCTGACTTTTCTTCTTTGGTAAGTTCAATATAACAACATAATTGAATCGTTCTTTGATAAGTGAGGCTTCTGCAGGGTCTCAGGGCTATCACTCAGAAAATCAATTCTCCTTGTGTAGACTAAATACCCAGGAACTAGAAGAGCAAAGCCCTGGTGCCATAGGAGCTAAGTGAAAACAATCCAAAGTTATTCTTTCTAGAATAAACCCACAGTAATACCTTTTATAATTTGCCTCTTTCCAAAACCCTAATGGAAGAAAAAAGAAAACAAAAAAACAACAAAACAAAACAAAACAAAAAACCACCTCAGATGATGATGTTTAAGGTACAGTCTGTTTGCATTATAAAGTAAAATAAATGTGGGGTTTGTTTTTATGGGGAAAAATAGGCTATCTGATTAAACACCATGTTTTTATATAAGTAATTAAACTGTTAAATACAAGTATTTGCTCCTGCTTTTTTGAGCCCTTCCTTTAGACTAATCTGTTTGGTTCAGTAACAAATCAGTGGCTTAGCATGTGTGAGGCCCAGTGCTTGTTCCTTGGTACTGCCAAAGAAGGAGTTCCCAGGAGGTGAGGAGATGGTGTTTTGTGTAAAGCACTGACTGCAAGCTTAAGGACTGTGAAGCTGAGCTCAGATTCCTAAAACTAATAAACCTGGACGTGGTAGCGGTGTCT